TACCTCAAGTCCTGCGTTTGTCGTTTGTGAATAAAGTGAAACGCAAAATATGTTTTAGATTCCACTCAATAACTTTACACGAGGGTATAGTCAATGTTTGTACGGAAAACTCTTAAATATGGCGAAACAACTGTCTGTATTTAAGAATTAAAAATTAAAACATATATGACGACGTTATGCTATTGCAGTATTGCTTACCTATACATATATTATTATGAACATTATTTAATATTGACTATTGTGTTTGTTTCGAYGTGTATACCTACACAATATATACCTATTATACTATTATTGTAATTTAATATATTATGCACCTACCCACTGCCTTAAATTCGTTCGTCCGTACACGATAACAACGATAGTTTCGTAAACTTAACAACAAAGTTTCTCGGGTAACGGACGGCGCAGGGTTGGAGAAAAAAAATCGTCAAACCGAGAATTCCCTCTCACCCTTTTCACCCACCGTTCATCATCGCCCGGCCTTTGCATTATAATCGCATTTACGCGGTTCGTGTGCGCAAATCACACTGTATGCACTCGTTGTGGTATAATAATAAATTCACGTCGCAAATACATGTATATTGTATACATATTRTATTATTTCTCGTTTATATGTGTGTGCGTATTCTACGGAGTATATACATATATTATATACTTCTATACGTAGAAAACGGTCGACCTACACATTTTTTAAATTTTCCGAGAAAACAAAAGACGGTATGGTCCCTCTTCTGCGCGCAAGGATGATTACCCTCTCATATTTTGTCCGGGCGCCCGGGAATTGGGCCACTAAAATTTTATATTTATTACATGTAGGCTCGATAATATGGGCCACTTGTTATTATTACATTTATTTTTTGACTAACTTTATGGACCTTGTTGTATATTAAATTAGTTAAATCTGTATGGAAGTATTTAAAAAAAATACTAATTATTTGACGTATTGTACTTTGTTAAACAAAAAATAATTATTGGTTAATAAACGTTATAATTATATTCATATTTGTGTGCTATACTTTTTTACACTTAAAAAATATAGATTTAACTTGTGGCCCAATCTCCGGGTAGTAAAATGTAAATAAATATTTTATATGAAACAGGTGTAGTTAAAATGTGGCCCAATTCCCGGGCGCCCTTTTGTCCGTGGTCTGTGTGGTTAAGATCTATTTACACTCTCGATGACAATAACCCACTGCTATTGTGGCTAACCGCCGTCCGCCACAAAGAACGTTTGTTTGATCCATGTACACACACACACACACACACACACTGAGAAAACTAGACTTATAATTGTATATATATACATTAGACATTTAGACTGAAAGAAGCTACGGCCTAAAAGTACGGTAGAAACCAGTTATACATACGCTACGACTGCTACGAGGGACCAGTAAAAAACTTAACGCACTTTATCTGATGACGTTTGGATGGCCGATGGACGATTATACTATATAATATATAAGATATAATCAATAATAATAAAATTCAGCATAATAATACGCGGTGTTTTAATAATTATAATAATTAACAAAAAGTTTTTTACTAAATTTGCATGCCAAAGTATAGGTAGTATACATATACACTTGTTATTATTATTATTYTTTAAATGGTAACTTTAGTTATTGCTATAAGATTAATGTTAKATTATTAATTTCCTGTTTTTCTTCTGTTAAACAGAATTATAGTTATTTAAACGAGTTAAAAATTCTAGAGAGCCAGTAAATCTAGTGTGCCTTGGTGCCATATACGTACCTACGCCCTTCCTCTGAACAAAGGAAAATCCACAAATTGCTAGATTATCGGTAATCGCAATCATGACGTAAAATACTGGTAAGCGTGTAATATTCACCGTCACGTCATCGTTAAGTATAATATCCATTTTCTGTACTGTGGTTTTTGTATAAATACCCAATGGCGCGCGTAATAGCCAGGAAGGGGTTGGGTGTTTAGAGTTTTAAACCCACCCCTATTGATATTTTTTTTAAATGAAAATAAAAATTGAAATAAGGAAAATAAGTTCGAACTCGTTATATATATAAATATATATATGTATACAGTGGCGTGCCCGGGAATTTGGTATGGGCAGAATGTCATAAATAAAAATGTATTATTTTCAATCTTTATTATTATACAAAAAAAAAAAATGAGTCAAGGCGGAAATTCATCCTTCTGGCTTTTGCAGTAAATTAAAAAAAAAAAGTCTATATGGGGGGATATATCATATATCCCCCATGGCCCCATATAATCCCCCCCCTGCGCACGCCACTATACATGAACGTATATAGCATTGTTTTACTTCGTTTAATAACGTCTCAATTAATTGCGATTTTAATTTATCTGTGTGGCCCTATTTATCCACCATGATGCATTAGTTCGGATAATCGAGATTGAACTATATTTATATTATTTATATAGGGAAAATTAATTTTATTTATGCTACCTCCCACCATTTAATAATCCTGGCTACGCCAATATAGGTACTTATACTGTACATTGATAAGATATAAATATTTTAATCTTATATAGATTTCATTTATAAATATGTTTAATTAACAAATTTCAATTAATCGAATTGTACATTAATAATGMATTTTTAATTATAACTTAGAAATTATTACGTGTGTCTATATAACTATACATTACGCAGTTATRAGTTTATAACACAGTTTCGTGGTAAATATTATATAATAGCGAAAAATAATAATAACAAACGTAATAGGTGTWTTATTACAATATTAGAGTAAAGTTTGTGAGACACAAAAAGATGGGTTCGTTCTTTGATGTGTGCGTCAGCGGAACAGGGCGTCACGCGAGAACACTTGAAAGTGGTGCGGGACCAGAACGGGAGGGCCCGGGTCGTCGGTAGGCGGTGACCGGAGCGTGGAGAACATCTTGACGGTGGTCCGGTGCCGGGGCAGGACGGCCGTCAGAAGGACGCAGTCGACGGTTACCCGGGCCAGCGGATCAGCGAACCCGTGAAGATAGCACGCGCCTGTCTCGTTGTCGTTGTGCACTGTGCCTACGGTGAACGTATAGCCGTTGACCGGTGGTTCCGCTGCCCATGGTTCCGACGACAATTCTTCCACTGTCCGCGACACGTATGCTGCCTCTGGCGCGCAATAATACTCGCCGTTCGCCGCGTACGCCGACGGCACGGTCATCAGACGGACTTGCATGCGTCTGGATTCGTCCACCACCGGCGTGGCCGCTCCACCACCGTTATCCGGCCACCGCCKTAGACGCCACCGAGACTGTAACCGCCGTATCGTCTCGGTGGCCGGCACAACCGGTTCGGCCAGACACCGTCGGACGTCGGAGGCTACCGCATCATCGTCCACAGACACCGCCGCCGCCGTTAGCCTTACGTCTTCGAACAGCGATCGCAACACGTTTTCGTTCATCGGCCAATCGCAGTCGACGCCATCGTCGTTGCTCAGATCCTCAGCAGTAGGTCTCTGCATCGTGCTTCGCGCCGTCGCCGAAAAGGTCTCCTGCGAAAAACGAACAATTTATTTTTYATCATTTCTTTCCCGAACGGTCATTGTATATATAAATGAAATTAAAAAAAAATCATCACAGTGTATTCGAGTCGTTTGATGAATCGTAACGGAATTTTAGATTTAATAAAATAATATTATGTACATGTATAGTACTATAATATTATATAATATATTAATATTATAGGTACGAACAATAGGCGACCAATTATATGGCTTTATATATATATATATTGTTTATAAATGTATACTGTGACTAAATTCCGTTTGAAGCGCATAATATATCTAAATTCACTCCTCTTATAGTCAACGCTATATATTCAAAAAACTTATTCATTATTTTATTTTTATTTTTTTTTGTTAAATCGATGGTATTATACCTAATAGCTAGGCGTGTATCATGAGATCGYGGGCGCATAATATTAATAATGCACATAAATGATAAATATTTCGACTGCAATTAATATAATTTATATTGGGCAGAATTCATAATTTTATCCCTATTATTGTTGGGTGCAATTTATATATTTTCACTTTCTGCAGTATATATGTGTTCGCGTCATCATCGCACAAGACGGCTGAAATTTAAAAAAATATGTAACATAATAATTAAAGATCTCAAAATGTGTCCCATACATATTGTATATAGCTATGCATTATCTGTCGTATAATATTGAACACACATATAATACATGTAATGTCATTCTCGCGATACCTTTATACCCTCGTACATAAACCAATATGTATATTATGGATTTACATTTTTAGCCTTATCCCTGCAAAAAAAAAAAAACACCCCAAATCCGGTACAGATGAGGATTACACATATATACATATAGAAAATAAAGCCATGTACTTTCCAATATGTTTGTTATCTATGGTTTTAAACGAACAATATATATATATATATATAAATATCACATTAGGTAGGTACCTATGTATATGTTATAGGTCGTATGTTCACAGCGATATACTCGAATGGGAAGTGAGAACAGTCCCGGTAAGCTTTACGAGCTTTTGTCGAGTTGATTTTTAATAATTTGCCATATGGTACCTACGTAAACAATACGATGATGATGGTGATAATATGTAGGATTATAATTTATTCGTATTTTTAAATCATATCACCTGCGTTTAATTAAAACATTTTTCTCTTTTAGCATCYATATAAGTTGGATATATATTACAATCATTTGATTTCTCTAATTCCTGGATAAAAATTATCTTCTCTATATTTCTCAAAATTGTTTACCATTGCCATTGATTTATTTCGTCGGTGCGGAAATGCAAAATATAATAATAGGAGTTCGCGTTCTATTGTAAACCGCGCGTAATAAATAAATAAATATATATATATATTATATAATATAGACGTATATAATATATAGTATATAAGTGTACTGCAATAATATAATGAATGGTATTCTCGCGGGGTGTAAAAATGTACACGATACCGTGCGATATACCGCGCCCAACGAATAAGTATATATGGTCTCGAAATTTTTGCTCGGTATTCGCGGTCTATAATGATTATATTAGGTATACATAGGTTTCCAAATTCTTAGGATGTATACCGTACACGGCGTAGGTACTCGGMAAATCGATATAATTCCTGCAACCATCTCGTATATATGTATATGTATATACGCTATATTATACAACGCGTATACCGGGCCAGATAAATAAATCGATTATACCATGGTTACCTATATAGGTAGGTATATGTTTATAGGTGCAATGTGGTTATTTCGACGACGATAGTTTTTAGGCGTCACGCTAATATTATATTATAATGATTAAATTGTCCTTATAGAAATTAATAATCATAGTGTTAAAATGCGCAGACTATACATAATATATATTATGTATTAAAATTAACATGGGTATATATATGACACGATAAATTCATTATGCAGATATCGCAGTTAAGCTCGCCGAGTCATTAATATCGAATCACCATAAACCACGCATAATAGGTAAAACTAGACGTCTGAGTTATCTCATTAATAAACCCAATGAAACGAGTCGGTAATTTATAATGAAAGTTTACGGGGCGGGAAATATTCACGAAACAATAACTATACCTACCTATATTTTCCCATAGTGCGTTCATGTATACGGAATAATATACTTAACAATCATCGTGCATTATAGATGGGAAGACAGCAGGTAATGCGTGCATAATATTATTTTATAGCTTCTAATAATTATTTGTTTACGAGTTTTTTTTTTTTTTTTAACGAAATTGACGTCAATCAGCCCACATATACACGTGCGAGTGGAGCAGTTACAATACGATGGGTCTGGATATAGTCTAAATCAGTGATGCCCAACTTTTTTTCTTCGGTGAGCCACTTTTTGGTGAACAATTATCTGCGAACGGGCCACCAAATATATAAGTACGAATAATCTCAATCATAATCTATAATGATATGATTTCGTTACACGTGTTAAGGTTTACAATAAACGCTTGTAGGTACATATTGGATTTTGTAACAATTTTACTAATTTTTGAATATTTTGTTTCTTGTTCAAATTGTTTAATGACATCTTTGCGGGCCGCGGTTGGACATCATATTGATCTTTAAATATAATATTCTATACGCGTATCAATCGAGAGCGTATTGTACGATAATTGATAAGTAATAATTCGATCGTTATTAGAACAAATACTCATATAAAGATGGTTATAAACGCTTATACTTTACTATAGCTGCCTATATTGCATCTACCTGTCTGTGACAATTTTTAAGAGTTTTGATAATATTATRCGATTTCCAATAATTTATTTACACGCGTTTAACGACATGCACTCTATGAGAAATCCACTCGTCGCTCTCGGTCGCATATAATATGTATATTATGAAATGAATTTCTCCTCAATCGATATGTGTATAGGTTAGGTACAGCGAGGCAGGTTTTATGCTATATTACTTTTTATTTTATATTAATATTATATCATGGTTGGAGGTATACACGGAACGTCGAGTGGGGTATAATATTATGCATACACCTATATATATTATATATATATATATATATAAACACGACTACGGGAATTATTAAAGAATAAAGAGTTAATGCAAAATGTACGCAATTATGACAAGTGCTATTGTAGCGTTTCGATCGAATGAATTATAATATTATAACGACGTCGTCGTCGAAGCATATTAAAAAAAATTTTTTTAAGTGAACCCACATAATAATATAATACGAAATAAATAATATAATATAAATTTATTACATCGTGTCACGAGGGAAGGGTATATAGGTATTATACATTTTACATATACGTACCTAACTATTATAAATCGTATGCATGTGAAATGCAAATGGTCGATATACATAAAATATATTCGMTGCACAATAATTATGAATATTGGTTGTGCGTATTTTAAAAGTGTATATTATAATATTTACTTGAGGCAGGAATATAATAACAATAGAGCTGAGTATGTATGGTATATTTATATTATGCATACGATCATTATAATATGTTACCTGAACACAAAMAATAAATATCTATACCATTYAGTCCATTCCCTAAAGATTTTTCCCCGTCGCAGCCCTGCAAAGTACAATATAATATAATGTCGACGTCTAACACTGTCTTATATTATGCGTGTAACGGTTCGCAGGACGAGGAAGAGTTTAGTAGAATTGATTTTTGTGGTCAACAAATATTTATTATTTTGATGCTTTATATGCGAGGACATTATATAACAGGATGAAAAAGTACAAAAGAAGGTTGCCAGAATTGAAAAGAATATAATAATAATATACATTATGATTATCATTTTATTCCATAAAACTGCCAGCACATCATATAGTCAATACTGCGCTTTTGATATTTCATATGCGTAATATTATTATTATACTACCCTGCAATTTGAAGGGTCCTACCGCCAGTTAGAACAAGGCGTGTTACCGCATACTTCTAAAGATTATAAGYATAGATACCTACGGCGTTGTGAGGTTAATTTTTGGTTTAAACGAAATGTTGGTCGAAATGGTCCAATTAGAGTAAGYTGGCTTTTAGAAAAACTGTTTAAGCGGATTTTGCGTGAACGTTTCAAACGGACATTCAAATCGGATCGGATAACGCGGCATTATAATTTTATATAATATATTGTATAATAATGTATAGTGGGAAAATACTCGTTTGAACTATTATCTGCAGTTACTGGTCCGGTTGACGGTTTTTTTCCTTCCCGTCCTCTAAAGGAAATAGCTGTACACATAAATAACACAGATTTGAATCAAGGGCAGTATAATAAATAATACAATTTTAGCCAAACGTGATGCCACGTGGTTAATGATCGAACGAATTTGGTAGGCACTGCTTGCAATCCTATTTAATTTTTGAATTCGTTTTTGTACGAACATCGTTTTAAAAATGTTCACGCCGTTTAAAATAGGTAAATAGTTTTCTATATTGATACATATAATAACTAATAGTATATATTAATATATACAATATACATTGTATAGTATGGTTTATCTTAATATATTATGTTTTTAAATAATATTTTTTGCACACACTGTTATATGTTTACCATCATATATCAATACATATTACCGTAAATCTATATAGTTCTTTGAAATAGAGAAAAAAGGGATTGTGTAAAAGACCTCGAGCTGACAACGACCATAATAATATATACCGCCACGAGGACGAGAGGCGAAACGAGATCGATAATTTTGCCGCACGTTCGGTGATATGGGGTTTTATAATATGAGCCATAGTACCTACCTTTATATAATATATTAACTATATACTATATATTATATATTTTATGTGGCTTATGATATATTAATGTAATATAATTTTATTATAGCGTGATGATTTATAATTGTGATTACTGATTGATAATAATATATAGGTATGTAGGTACATACGATTAATGATAGCTAGTACACCTATATACTATGGCTGAATAGCCGTGGTACATAATAATATATTTTTTATATTTAAAATATTAGTGATGATGAATATGAACAATATTACGAGAGAATGCGAAAAAACATATCAGTACAGATCATAATATTACTGTCAACATTTTTCTTTTGATCATAATCAAACTGATGAGTATTATAAAAAATTGTTAAAATTATCTTTCGTCTTTTATGCATGTATATATACATGCGAAAAAAAGCACTTKAAGTAGTTTTACGTGAACTRCGAGTGACAAGAGTAGTTGTGATGTATTGAATTTATAATTAAAAACAAAAAGTTCCATCCTAATTAGTATTTTTAACGCTATCCGTGTGATATTATTATTAGCACTGATAATTCACAGTTTTAACTTTACATATTTACCATTTACGTATGCAAATTGTAAGCCTATTTATATAATCCGTGTCTAAACCTGAAGATTATTGAAAACAAACAATCCAAAAATGTCGTTTAATTAATACGTATTATGTAGGTAATATGTATTTTAAAGTCTTAAATAAATCTAAACCTGTTAATTATAATAGTGTAGTATTTTCACGCTTTAAAATGTATACATAATGGCTAAGATAATTTGTTAATACCTTTTTAAACTTAGTTTTCATCATGATGTCATAATTATTCTACGTTTATTTCACACGAATCAAAATTTTCAGAATTTTTTTATTTTGTTTTGTTGAGAATAAGGTCTTCGACAATTGGGTTATTAATATGTATATTTGCATATACATTAACAGTAAGTATAGTATTAATTATGATTATTAGCGTAACTACACAATACATATTTTTTTTAAAACTCATTTACAAGTAGYTCTGATTGGTTTTCAGATTTAAAAAAAATCYATGAATTAGATGGSWGATTATTTCCCGAGAGCATGTGGCTCTCAACAACAACAACAGCTAATTCTTAGCTCTTCCTGGTTAGAATCTAAATCCTCGTATAAACAAAAAATGTTAGGGTTCAATGTGAAAATATTAAATAATCACATAACATTTACCTACCTATATAATAAGTATGTTAATGCTGTGGATATACGATGTGGCTTTTACAAATTTACGTATAATAAATAATAAGAATCAAAACATGCATCAGGTCGACTAGCTATGAACCAAACAAGAATCTATGATCTAGCTATTCTAAAAAATATAAATAGGTATAGTATAATATAATTAGGTACCTACTTCGTGATATAATCGATAGTTATAWATTTTTTTAAATATGTATATCTTAATATATAGGCGCAGACAGTTATAAAATATTTACTCAACTTATTTTATTTTTAATGACAAGAGATGGATATTATTACTCTATATGGTTATTACACTTTGTTTTTAACTTAAATTTTTACTGTACTCCCTAGTTTTGGTGATTTTAAACCTCTTATGATACTCAATATGTGCAAGGGTTTGTATGGCTTTGAATTAGAAAAAAACAGTAACAATAATACATACTCTCCAAATGGCTTATTGCATTTGTAATTAACATTAGGTATATTTAACTATGAATTAATGATCAATGACAAGTTATTAGTAGGTATTAATTGGGAGTATAATATGCGTACTCTGAACGAATAAAAAATGTAAAAAAAACTTTTCATTTACTTTCGGTTTTTATAATCAAAGAAATAAACAAAAAATATTAATAATAAATAATATGGTCATATGTATAAACTAAATAAAATATTTAAACATTAAAGTTATTGCGGTCTAATATAGTAGTATTTATTGCATATTTTATGTTAATATATTATATTTTATTCATTGTATATACTTATAATAATAAATTTACAAAATAAATTKTTTTGTTTTAAAACGACTACCTAACTTAATAATATAAAAATAAATATTCAAGCGCTGAATATCAAGTGGGTCCGTCAACCTTGCGAGCTCGTGGGTCATAGTTCCCCCTCTTAATTCAGACTTGAGGGTTTCAAGCTTTTTTCAACACAACATACCTAATTTATATCGAATTCCATGGCAACACTCTCGTCATAGCCTAAAAAAAAAAACACACAAATAAACGCGTATGCATGTATAACGCTGTTTATGGTTTTATAATTAATATTATGTTTATTACCTATATATATGGGCTATTATACCTATACGTACCTAACCTTAGATACCTATTTAAATGAATTCATTTTTTCACCTAAAAGCAAAGACTGTTCTTACAAATAGATTAAAATGTTAGTATACGTTTTCATAGCAAATGTTGTTTTCTATTAAAAAATATTTTTTGGGGGGATACACCGGTAGAGAATAATTGCATCTCTACGTACAGTAAATCAGTAAAACTAAATGAATAATATAATTTGTTATTTTAGAAAAGCTGACAAAAATTCAACTATATTTTAATATTAAATTATTATCAAGTTTATATTCGATCTACCTCATTTTCAGTTATTTAAAAATTTAAATGTTCTTTAAATTTTTTAAWGGATATTCCGCAAACTATTAATAATTTATTATTTCAAATATTTTTAAATCAGCCATGGATTTTTTTTTTAGATCGTTTTACGTCTTATTTACGACCGTAATGATACAATATTAAGATAAAACTCAATTACGAGTATTAGAACTAGAACTGGATGTTTTGTATCATAATTTATAGGTTAAATTATTGTTTTGATACTTTTGAAACATTATGTGTATCGTTATAACTATAATATTGTGTATTATTGGCATTGTTGTATGTAAAATATTGTAAAAATCAAAGCTCGTTATTAGTATGATTTGAACATCATTTTTTGCACAAAATAAAGAGTTGGCTGTGCAATAATGTTTTTATTTACACGAATAATTTGTTTAATCTTTCAAACTTAAAGTTTAAAATTTTTTTAAATTAAAATAACCAATAACTATATTAAATTGTATTTTTTTTACATATTCTTGTACCGTGATGGACAACATAATAATATATCACAACATATTTATATAGAAACAAGTAACAACAAACTAAGATTTGTATCCATCATATACAATTTTATAACTCGTAAGTTATTTCTAGAATACTATCAGATAACTTATAGCGCAGTCAATGATATTAACCTATTATTCGGATATACATAGATGTATATGTATAGTGTGAAATATAGATACATTCTATTTTAATAAAGAGTCAATAATTAGGAATGTATTTATAAACTATGTATCAAATATTTATTATTGAATATTATTTCAGTAGTGACAAATGCTGAACTATACAGATATTTAAAAATATCCTGCATATTATTGTGGTTAAAAGAAATTCAAATTTTTGGTAAATAAATACATTTTTGAAATAAATGTTTTATCTTTAATTTGGTTTAGTCTTGTTAGTGCATGCTACAATTTTTTTTTCAACGCTAAATTTATAATTTTATTGCACACATTTACATTTTTATGATATTTAGATCTTTGTTATTGCATAATTAACTAGTTTTATAGTTGATACAAATCTGAAAATCCTTATAGTATAGCTTTATTCGGAAAGTTTAAACTCGGTTATTTTATCTCAGAATTTTTTGAAAAGTAAAAACAAAATTTGCTTATTTGTTGAAAACATCAAGATATATCCAAAACGACAAAAATATATGTAGTAAAAATTGAAAAAAATGTCATTAAATTTTAAAATTCATAATATACACTGAAACGAATTTTATTTGAATTGGTAATGTTACAAAACATATTATGTTGTACTTACGTCTTACAAAGCATACTATTATCATACAATGGATGAAGGCAGAACCTATAATATGTATAGGAATATACATTTGCACTTAAGTTTTTACTTTAAATCGAACGTAATAATATTATATAGATATTCATATAAACGAGTATGTCGTTGTTTGATTAAATATAATTTAAAAAATAAAATACTTTYATTTCTTTGGGTACCGATAAAATATAATAGGTATCAGCTTTAACTGCAGCACACAAAACCAAAATCAAGATCATCAATTGACCATAGGATGTTCGCTTTCCGCCAGACACCGAAGCGGACTTTGAACCGATAGTATGTGCGAGGGAAGAGTTCACTGTGAAAAATCTCAAAAACTTTATAATTTTGTACAAAATATATAATATACCTATGTATAAGTCTATAAGACTTTTTAGTTTCTATGTAGGTACAATTGTTCGTCGAGAACGACGAGAGAATAAAATAAATATTTGACAAAAACATACTTATGACAGCACACATGAGTTCTATTACTGTGACTTATATGAGTATAATAATAAGAAGGTCGGAGTAGTCGTCGGTGAAATCGATGACGAAACATGGTCAATATCATAGGATATTCCAGTTCTGTGAGAGGAAAAATAAAAATGTTAATACGTAACATACAAAAACTATTTATATTGTCAAAAAGACTATATACGACCGGCCACATATATACCACGTTATTTTGTTTAGATTCCCCACGTAGCATCTATACATCGTCGACGGAGTCAAAAGCTAATATTATATATAMAATTCTTATTGTGTTCATCCACCATCCATCTGCAACAAACACCCTTGGGATTAGTTACTAAAAGAAAAACCACCACATATTATACAAGTCTATAATATGGTATTCGRTTCTTAGTTTCTTACAATGCTACGCGTGTTCTATTTATTGTATGATGTATAGGTAGATCCACTATAGAGCAGTAGTACCTACTCACGTTCCAAATTCAAACAAATTTTTCACGTACGGTGGCTGTTATCTATAATTTTGTTGTTATATCCATARYGTTAAAATTATAAATGAGTTTTCTTCACTGTCCATAATTTAATTTTATAGGATGTAATGTCTTATTACCGTGAATAATATATATCATCACGATTGTAAAATAATGTATTTTCGGTAAAATTTTTGTAAGAATTAGTATTGTTATGGTATCAGAAATAAAATAAATAAATAATTACATTTTAAGTTTTGATAAAAAWAATAAAAAAAATATTAAAACGGGGAGAAACTTTTTTAACGTATATACCTACTATTATATAACAAAYAACATCTRTTACAAATCAATTGTTCTTTTATAYTTTAATTAAACATAGTTTCATTAATTTTATCCTCACTTTTCTTCCACTGCAGTTATGCGGATTGTGCTGGCTTAGGATTCTTTTAAACAACGTCTGAAGATTTACGACATATGCGTAGATGTATTATATTATTTCCGGAACGAGTGTGAGGTTAGATCCCTCTCTCATATCATATAACGTTTCTTCCAATATACATTTGTTATCTCATTTTTTCAGTTTGTATAGTTATTTGTAACCTAGCCGTTTTCAAGTTAAAGATMATTTTAAAAAGATTGAGGACGATTCATACATAAAAATGTATTTAAAAACAGAACTATTATTTATTTGTTCATAAAAATTAGTAAAATTTGTGGGTAGTAAGAAATAATTATTTTTATTTTTATTGTTTAACATTTTTATTTATTTGCACATGTTGTACTATTATGAGTATTATGACATTTTAAATGCATTTTGATTTTGTATAAAAATTTCAATAACTGCCAGTAGTTTGTTTTAATAATATATAATTATAATTTTTACGCAGTTTATCGCTTAAATGTTGTGTGCTGTGTATTTATCAGCTTTCACTAATYTTACTCAATTATATATCCTAGGATGTAGTTACACTATGTGTTTAGAAAAAGCCCGAATAAAATTAACTTCTAAAAATACGAGACTAGGAATAGGATAACAACAGATTTCCATCAGTTAGAAGTTTAAATTCTGATAGTGCAGGTAGGGAAGAAACTGTATATTGGTTAATATAATAATGAGTTCTTGTTTTAAAAGTGMTTTTTAAGGCACTAAACGTGCTTAAAAAGTTTCATGTTACCTTCCCCCTATTTATCAATGGGAAAGTGAAAACAGATGATACTTCGAGTATATCAAAATAATAAAAGTAACAAAAAAAATACACATAWTATATTTCTGTTTATATTTATTATAAAATCATCATTGTATACGTACAGCATTAACCCGTAAAAGATGAAAATATAAAATTTCCTAAAAAATATTCTTTTATGAGAATTTTTTATCTGACTTAAGCAATCCATACAAATTAGCAAAATAAGTTTATATKATAAGAGTAATGTATAATATGAAAGATGTGGTTAAAGTATACGCCCATTGGCCATTAGTGACTCTTGGTTAGTGATCCATTTTTAATTATTGTTACTTATATTTTTTTAGTGCCATTAGATATTAAAGTTTTATAGAACATAGATAAAATATCGCAAATAAATTTAACTTTGCTCTAAATTAAAACAAACACGTTAATGCAACTCAGAATCGTTTTTAAGGTATCTGMTAGATAATCTCTTTCAATGTTTCAAATATAATAATATATAATATAATGTACACCTTTACACTCCGGATGTGCTTCTTCTGCAGTAATCATCCAAACAAAACTCAATATCTAAACAAATAATGACTTCTTATTTCCTATAAGTGTTATAATTTAATAATTAAATACCGTAAACTTTTATAACGGTTAACTGGATTTTTTTCAATTTGATAACAAACGAATTATAATAATTGCTCATCGTATTTTTATCATATATACGATGTTGCTATCGTACAATGATTTGTCACATTGACGTATTTATTTGAGCTCATACGTAAAATTGTATACGCACWGGGCTCGAAATAAGCTCATAATCCAGGTTTAGTCCTCTGCAACTCCCAAGCCCTGGGATAAAGGGTATTCTCTTTAAGGGCAAAACTAAACCATAATATATTATATATTTATTAAGTAATTTAAAAATATACGCATTTAGTACAAACAATTTWAAAACATTTTCATCGGCTCTACTACACGTATCAATTGAATATATTATATTTTTAAAAATAAATAAAATGGCTGATTTTAATTTCACCCAAAATATTGTATAATACTTATTGCATGGATAATATTAACTAATGTTTCCGGTTTTTTTATAGTTCACAAATAGTTAGTATTAGAATAGATTTTACTGAAATGGTAAAAATTATATTCRAAAAGAAGATAAAATAAAATATTTCACAAGAATATACAGGGTAATTCCTAGAGCATACTCACCCCATGTTTTCTTTGATAATGAAATTATTAAAATGCTGTATTTTTCAATTTTTTTTACTGCACTAATCAAAGGCTTCTTTTAAATTCTTGAATTTTTTTGTTGAACTAAGGAGTGTCTTGAGGAGAATGGAACTTCAGTTTTTCAAAGAGAAACCCCTTTTCRGCATGTAATTATTTACCACATATTTTTTGAAAATGTTGATGCATCAATTTTAAACAAGTAGTTTTTTAGTTATTTAACTTTGTGTAATAAGGATAATTACGGTAACATGATAATGGATTTGGAAGATATGATGATTTATATTTATTTAAACATAACATTTTAATAATATATTTATTAATAACATTAATAATTTGTAAAAATGATCCAAGTATAATAAATACTAATTATAGTATTACCTATATCTGTTTTATTCTTTGAATGAATATTTTAACAACAAATAAACTAATTATTTAACGAAATTATTTACAGTAAATAAGGGGGGGAGGGGGGTTTGGGCTGGAGGAGAAGTACTGGCACCATAGTTCCTCCTCCAGTCCTCGATACCATAAGGAAAAAAAAA